AATAATAATAATAATAATAATAATAATAATAATAATGTACCAATAACTGTCTTTCCACATACACCTTACATACTCAGGCTAGCATTTCTGCAGAATAAATTTCTGTAAATGTATTTATTATGTGCATTTCATTGTCTGCTAACATGAAAGAAAGTTAATTTTTAAGACATCTTTGCTTGGTTTGAAAATGTCAAATATTGTTAGAAAATATACCAGTGGTTGTCTTTGGGGTGATTGGCTTATGCATGCGTTTGCTTATTATTATTATTTTTTAACTTCAATACAAAAGATAGAACTTATTTTAGAAAACTAAATGCTTTATGAAAGCAAATGCTGCTTTAGAAGTTCTGTGATTGTGAGCAATTGTAGATGCCCAATAATACATCTAGCATAATGCAAAACATGACAAATTGAAAAGGTATTTGTAGAAGTAGGTTGATTGATTTATTGACTGAAACAGATAGATAATTTTTACCAATTCTTTTTCAGGGTTTTTTGATTAACTCAAAACCAGAGAATGCCTGTGAACCCATAGTGCCTCCACCAGTAAAAGACAATTCATCTGGCGCTTTCATCGTGCTAATTAGAAGACTTGATTGTAATTTCGATATAAAGGTATAGTTTTCTTTTTTCATTTTTTGTTTCCTATTTGTTTAGTTAGCTAACTTAAATCCTCCCTTATTTCAGAAAACATTTAAAATTTAAAATCCAGTAAGATTGAAAATAAACTGGATGCATAGAATAGAAATAACTTTTACTGGTTCTAAGAATTTTCAGGCATTTGTTGGACATCTTGAACTGTGGTTTAACAGTGGAATCTTACTTGATCTCATGTAGGAATGAAAACTTAACTTCAGCCTTTAGTTTTATGCCTTTACCCTTCCAGTATTAATCTCAAACCTACATCTATACCTGTATCTACATTGTCATTGAGGTTTGTCTTTTGTAATAAGTTAAATCTGCCCCTGTATAAAGTTTTTTCTCTCTGACATGTGTTAAGCTAGCATTTCAGATAGTAAAATGAGGTTTACCCACCTCCCTCACCATGTATCACCAGTGCTGCTCTAGGTGTATGGTTTTTTAAAGTCTGTTTTGGGATTGGCATTGGCTAAGGAGCCACATTGAGGCCTATGTAAAATAAACCTTGATGTAACTGTTACTGGACTTCCTCAGAGCTGAGTGTCATATAGTGTCTTGCATGTATCTCCCAGAATAGGACATGGGCTATTATTTCATGTTGCTTGGTCTTAGATAATTTGTCTGTTCAGCAAGAAAAACCGCCCTGTCACGCTGTGCATGAATTTTCTCTGCAATTTTGATTGCATGGAAGAAATGATACCTCCGTAATAAACTTATGAGAAGAATAAAATAATAAATATAAGGGAATTTGAAAATGTATAGCACTGTGTAAATGATAGGTATCATTACTACTTTATGTTAGTTCCAAATATAGACTCTCACTTGCCTTTAAATGGGAATAGATTAGAGTTTGAAGTCAAAGTAGTAGATTTCCTGCTCCTCGGAGTTGTTTATGATAGTTTACATTTAACTGTTTTATCCAGAACTAAACTATAATAATTAGAGATTGCTTCAGTTAAAATTAAATGTTATTGTAATGTTTCATTGATTTCTTGCTGTTAAGAAATTAAAAGTAAACTAATTCTATTGATCCCAAGGTCTACTGCACTATTATGCTTTGTAATTTGTGGACTCAGTACAGTCTGATAGTTAGAAACTAGAATACTTTTTTGTTGTTGTTATAACTTTCCTTTACAGGCAGGGATGGGAGATGGTACACTTTGAAAATTAGGGAAATACTGTTACTGAATATCTGTTTTTGAAGATGAAACCACAACTCGGGAATGAATACAGTAGACTTGTTAGCCTTCTTGTCCCTTTAGTGGATCCTCATCATGAGTCTGAGTACTTCCAAAGGAGCTTAATGATTTAGTCATTAGTCCAGCTCATCTCTTTTCACTGCTTGCCTTGAATTTTATGTTGCAGCCATACCGCCTGCCTGAGTTCTCTCAACTGGCTGTGCCATGCTGATCATACATTTGTGCCTTTACATTTACTATTTTCTCTGTCCAAGATCTCTGCTCCAATGATCTTTATCACCCATTTATCTGTCTCATCACTTATGTGCTAGCTGAGGATGTTACCTCCTCAGGAAGCCTTACTTTTCTTTCTACTTCCTCTGTTGCAGTGCAGACCATTCCAGCTCAATGTGCTACCCTTCCACTTTGCAAATACTTCCTTCATTGCGTTTTATCACATTGTTATTGCTTTTTATTGAATATATATATATATCTCATTTCTGAATTGATGGTGTTTAGCGTTCATGTTTTAACCATATTTATATATCCAATTTGTATTATAGTACA